TCACTTGGATAGTGCCAGTACACTCGGAGACCATGCTTAGCATACCATGCATGCCTCTACCCATACTGCGCCTCCAAGCACGATTGTCCTGGCGGCGAGACCAAGGTAGGGAAACCTGTCATGACAGGCTGTGAGATCTGAGGCCGGCGAGCTTGCTTTTTGCCAAGACAGCTCTGGCATGCATTGCCAACACGAATAGCTTGATGATGTGGCTTGGCCAATGTGCTGCGCATGTACCGCAAGTTCGACGGGAGTGCCAATTCCGAGAAGCACAAAACCATTGGATGTCACCATGAGAGGCATATCCAGGCGGTAGATCTCAGCCCAAAACTAGACTGCAATCACAAGAAGTGTGGTTCTTCATTTTTCTCGTCTGGCTTCTGAAGCGCACTGATACATATGATGAATTACCACACCACCTTCAAAATCTCAGCAGCTGGCACCGGGTGTCAGTAGCAAGCCGTCCTCCAGATACACGAGGTTAGGTAGGTGCAGTACCAACAACGTTTCCCAAGCTAAACGTTTTAGACAATACAGAATGATCGTCCTTGAAAATGACGTACTTGCGCTTTGAAATAAATGATTTCGAAGTTTGCAGCCCTAAATTCCGAGCGAGATGACCTAGCTGCCTGGGTTTCAGTTGAATCACGCAGCTAGAAGCTTCAAAGCTGCACTTGGTAAGAGGGTTGACGATCAGTGCTTCATTTAAAACTCAAAGAAATCAGGCGGGACACAGTTTCGGTTGTGAATTTTGACCACTGGCAGCTGCTTCATGCCGACGACACGCTCCCTGAAGCGATCTGATAGCTTAGGCTTAGACGTGCGAAACCATAAACCATGTGAGCTAAAGTCAATATTTTCTACCCAGTTTAATGGACATGGGTTCCTTATTAGGAACTATATCGGGGGGCTATACCAAACTACAAGAGGGTCCCTATGTCCACCCTTAATGGCCGCTTGGTAAAGCAAGTATTGACAGTAGCTCATGTGAGTCATAACTAGCAGCTTTGCTGCAAACACATTGCTTGCCTTGGCAATGATCGCGCTGTTGATCTCTGCAGCAGACATCTGTGGAGTAGCCACAAAGACCTGGCCATATTGACTGTTAAGCGTTGCCAAGCAAATGTGCCATTGCTTACTCCTTGGGGTTCTGCATGGTTCTGCTCTGGGCCTTCTGTTCCGAACTACAGAGCCAGGTCACATCTCCTCAAGCTGGCGAAACCGAGGTGCTGACATTCTCGCCGATGCTGAGCTTGCGATCAATTTTGGATTGGCGATCCTGGCTACTGAACGGATTCCACCTATCTGTAACTGATCAAGTCGGCGCCGCAAGGCGTTTGAATATTCTGTGCAGTCTCAGCCCCTTCCAGTCTCAGCTGTCCTTTCCAACGGTGCCAGGAGGTGGATTTTCGATGACTTTGGGCACGTAGATTTTCCATTCCGCACCAGCCTGCCAGCACAGTTTACGGGTTGATCCCGAAATTATAGGCCCCTTTTGGTACTGGATGATATTACGGCACCAAAATGTAGGGAACTACCCAGACGGGCGAAACTGTTGAGAAAGTGCCGCGGAAGCTCCCAGCAGCCCCACCTCGAAAACGATATAAGGCTTCTCTGCAGATCCTTGGCCACCAGATTAGATAAATACTTGCAGTTCGCATCAGGACGGGCAACCTACTTAAAAGCAGCCAGTCACCCGAGTAAGGCGGGCACGGGGTATGCCTGACACTTTAGAGATCTTGTCGACCATGCCCTAGCAGAGGTCAGATGTCAAAAGCCCCTATGCACGAGGACACACGAGGTAGAAGAGCAAGGCTCCGACTGCATTGCAAGCTTCCATCTCTTCTGGCCGGAGGCCAACGGTCTTAGCTCAGTCTCTGTTCTTGTTTCTCAACATGTCTAAAGCTACGATTTCGAGCCGACATGGCGTGACATGACGTTACATGACGTTGTGTCAGGCTGGTAAAGCAGTTTGGCCACAAGCTTCCTTATCACACTTGCCACCAAGGGGCATCCTGAAAGACAAAGTTCCAGCCACCCGGGCAAACAAGTCCTCTTGAGCATTTCTCAAAGATCTCAAAGCTCGTTGAAAGGGCCTGGAACTTGTGCAGCCGGTCCTTCCTCTGGAACCAGGACCTGCCTTGCATACCACTGCTGCTGGGTGCCCATCACCAGCTTCCCGTGAATCTCAGCGCAACTCACAGCTTCCCATGCGTGAAAGCTTGCTGTGGAGGCCAGGCCTCCACGTCGCTCATGAAGCCACCGCTGGAGTAGCCGGTCTGGGCAGCTTAAAACCCTCTTCGCGCTGGACAAGAACCACTTTTTCATGTGAGCTATAGTCTAAA